ACTGCTTTCTGGGAGTTTCTTTTCTTTTGAGCCAAGCCTGGTCACTTGGCCGGTGACATGGGGGTTTACAGTATAGAGTGTATGTCTAATTGATTCTGTTTTTGATACCGATAAGAACTTTAATTCCGAATGTCTGAATTCAAAGAGCCCGTTTTCTTCCAGCTCTGGAGCCACCCCATTGAGTCTTCTTCCAGAAGGTTCAGAGGTTCAATGATTAACAGGAGCATTGATGGGTATCATGATGTACTCATGTGCCTATTCTGGAAACCTGCCTAATGAGACTGGAGCATTTGATGCTGCATTTCACAATGGCACTCAGCTGTTACCTGGTAACTGTTTTGAAAAGGAGGAAAGAAGCAGACAAACAACTCCAGATTACCGAATCAGTTTACGTAAGTTCACTCATAGGAAACCGTTTGTTATCACTTCAGGCAATGTGTGCAGCTGTAGCTTTTTAAAAAAGACCAATTTTCATCAGGAATAACACCAGGAGGACTAACAGAGAATTGAATAATGGCAATAAGACAGGTAAGAAGTATTACCACGAAAATAAAAAGGAACTGTAGGATGATTTCAATGTGTTTGTAACTGAGTGACATCAACCATTGGGGAAAATTGGCCAAATACCTCGAAAATGTTCCTGGGGTTAACCAAAATCATAAGACAACAATCTATTAGTTGCAGTGAAAAGATGTAGGAGAGGTTTTTTTATAGTGTAAAAGAAGAAAATTAGCATCTGCTAACATGACAATGTCCTGGCTTCATGTCGCATGGTAACTGTAAGGAATGTATGCCTGATAGTTAGAGACGAGATCAAATTCGCAGCCTGGTACACGGACGTGGCGATGACAATAACTGGCTAGCTGGAAAAACAAACAAAAGGTCATTTGATGTGCAGTCTAGAGGCAAGTCAGTCACTGTACCTCACTGCATACGAATTTGTTGGCCTTGTTAGGAACACCATCTCTTAATGAAAATCACCTAATCAATGTTTAATTCAGCAGCGATTAAAAGACACTATACAGCCAAGAGATCCTCCATCACTAGACCACGTAGTCAAAGACATTTTTTAGTAACTTTTAGAACAAATGTAACACACACACCCAAAACAAGAAAAACACTTACCAGAGTGAGGAATCACTATAAACATCTTGTCTTCCCTTTATGTACTTTGAGACCAGCAGCTGAAATGAAAAGATGTTATTGTAAGATCTTCTGCAAAACCTTACTAACTGCAATACTACAGTATATACAGTACAGATCCAACATCAAGAGGATCACAAATTTTGCCACAAACAGAATAAGAGCTTTATAATGAGCAATGTAAAGCACAACTAGTTAAGTATTAAATGCACAGCAGATGTTTATATTTTCAGTTTACACTTCAAATAATATGGTCACATTTTAAAATGGAAGTTATTAACTGACGTTTGGGAGGGATCTCCCACAACTCTATCTCATCACCATCTTTATGAAATACGCTCTATATATCAAATGCAAACACCTCCTTCAGGTTCACAAGTTTTTAAATATACCCATTCCTGGATGTTGTTGTCTACAGTGAAATTATGTTTGTTTAAACCAAACTGGGTGGATGTCAGATTCTAGTCTTGCGCCTCCACTGCCTGGCTGGCCACTTAGCTGTGCGGGTCTCCTCTAGCACCCAGAGTTTTGCTTTGTGGCAGACAGACGTGTTTCGCCTCCGGTGTTGTTGGGACCTTAACTGTATTGCCGTCGTTTGGTAGTCAGGACAAGAGACTCCTGCTCATTCCTTCAACCTGCACTTTCCACCACTCTGCTACTGCCACGCTTTCAGCTCAGTCTTTTCAGTTCTCCTGGTATCGTCAACCCCTTCCAAGAACACTGAACAAGTGCAATCGACGACTCCCCCCCAACCCCCGCAGTTCATAACTTCCATTTGAAAATGTGACCATATTATTCGAAATGTAAACTGAAAATATAAAAATTGCTCACACCTGAAGATGGCTCTACGGCCGAAACGTTGCGTTTCCTTTCTTTTCTTTTCAGCATTGTCACGGGAGGACGGGGAGCTCAGTCTCCCGTGTGGGTTTGTAATTAAGACCCCGTGCGAGGCGGTTTATCCGGAAAGTTCAGGAGATGGACTCCGGGGAAGACACACGAGGCTAACTGTGACAATAGTGATACAGTGGTGTCGTAGTGAAAAGGGGGAAAGATCCGATAACATCCAAATCCATTCAGGTCCAAGGGGCAGCCAGGAATCGGTCCAGAACTCCAGAGCCGGGAAATTAATCAAGACAAGGATTGATTAAAATCCCCGGAAGGGGGGAATACGAACAGGGAAACACACCGCATCTGACAGACACGGAACAAGGCGCTCCAAGCCCCGGGCTCAGAGGTCAGGACGTCTGGGAATAAGGTCTATGCCCTCAGACTTCCTCATACTCTGGTCGTAGGTGGGCCTTCAGATGTCCTTGTTCCAAGGCTGAGCCTAGAGCATTGGAAGCACTAGGCTTATCTAATAAAACACTGATTAAACACACTAGGAAAGCAATCAGGGGTTAAACTAAAATTAGTAGTGCCTAGGAGTAAGGGCGCCCCCTGGGGGAGGGATGCCAACCGCGACAAGCATGGAATAAACCTGTTACCTGTTCCTCTTCCCCGCCCTTGTCCCTTCCTCCCTCTTCCTACTCCTGCTTGCTGCAGTCTCCCTCCTTCAGCCTGCATCGCCGAAGCCTCTCACTCTCTCTGTGCTCTACCCACATTCTGCTCACTTCGAGAAAACCTGAGGCTGAACTGACTTGGTCTCAGCTTGGTGTTCAAAAGCTGTGCTGGTGTTTTTTGGGATCCTTTTCAGGAGAACTGCCATGTCCTCGTCCAGACAAATCACAGCCAAAGTATTAAGCGCACTAACCCAATATATTTGTCATCTCATTTTGTCACTAGAATTAGACCTAACTACATCAGTCTATCCCTCCCCAAGTCAAATTAAATTCTATGCTAGTTATTTTATTATTATTATTATTATTATTATTAGCTCCACCAGACTCTGGAACAGCTTTTCCCACAGGCTGTCAGGCTTCTCAACACCCTGGTACCTAGTTGCACCCACCCCATTTCCAGAAACAGGGTTGAAATTCCCCCCAGTGTTAGTGAATATTGTATGATGTAATTTTTGTATTATTCTGTAAATGTGTATCCTGTCTACAATGTACAGTGTCTGTAATAGCACCGTGGACCAGGAAGAACGATATTTCATTCCACTGTATACTTGTATAAACTAAACTATAAATAAACTTGAACTTGAACTTAAAAATGCTTTTTTTTAAAAAAAGAAGTTGACAGGCAGAGGAAAGTAGTGTGTAGGGCTCTATCTTGTTACTGGGATTCAAACCCTTTATGTAAGATGTGCAGAATTTATGGGCAATGTGGGCTAGAGGTTAGGGCTCAGGGCCAAAAGGGAGAAACTGCTCTTGCACATGTTCCAATAATAACATGTGAAAGAGGCTTCTCTGCAGGCTGTCATTTAAAATGTGAGTTTGCCCGCAAGCAGTTTATTCATAGTGATTATTATATTTAATCTCAAAAAGGATACAATTTCTAACTTAGTGATATCACCAGGAAAAATGGTTCGGTCACGCATAGCATGACCCAATTGGATTTTAAGAGACCCGGAGACAAAACATTGTCAAATGGGAATGACACTGGCATTGAGCCACAACTAACCCAGCTCTGCAAGTGACAGCAGGCAGTCAAAAGCACTTTAAGGTCAAGTTCAAGTTCAAATTTATTTGTCAGTCCAGCCATGTACAAGTATACAGAGGAGCGAGATATCGTTCTCCAGGTCTACAGTGCAAATACAGACAAGACACTGACAAGACAATGCTACAGACAATGTAGACACAGACATTTCTGACAGGGTACAGGGTACATGAAGTGCAATGTGCAGAGTGCAATTTTACTTTACAGGATTGTGCAAGAATTGTGCAAAGAATACATCAGACAGTATGCCTGACATTAGGCAAAAGAGAACTAGGTTTCCAAATTTGGAGTAGGTGCAGTAAGTACCAGGGTGTTGAGGAGCCCGACAGCCCGTGAAAAGAAGCTGTTACGGAGTAACAATCAGTCATCTTGCACGGACCCACTATCGGTGACTGGAAGAGAGGACAAGCACCACATGAATATCGGTCCAGGAATTACTAGCTGACCGACTGATACTTAACTGTTTTAGCTGCTTCTTAAACTTCAAAATACACAAACACCCTGCAGAACCCTTAATAGTTTTGACAGAGCCAGGGGCCACTCAGATGCCAAGGAATGAAAGAGCTGCAGACCACTACTTTGCTTCTACCAAATGCATCAGCTCTGTTGGTGCTGTTGGTATTCTCCTATTCTCATATTGGTAAAGCAGGGATGAGTGCATTTTTACCTTGTGTGTTTTGGGGAGAAAGGATTGCACTTACACTGTGCTAAGAAATGATTGTGTCTTTTCCCAGTCTCCAAGGTCAACCTTTCTAAGTGTTAGTTAATTATGATTCGGTTGATTTTGTTTTAATGAGCTGTGGTCTAGAAATCGTAGTCATGAGCAACTGGTGATGACCTTAAGAAGCATCACCACTATTCATAAGTGGACCTTATGAGAGTTATATAGTGTAGCAATCCTTCCTTTTCCCCTGGTGGTGTAGGCCAGTGTGCAAACAGCCACAGATGAGCCTGCACTGCTCATTAGGATTTACATCCTTTGTTCATTATAGGTGGGTGTGCTAAGTAGGGTGGAAGACACAGTGAAGAGAGGGTGCACATGCACAATATAGAGGAAGAAAGGAATCTTCCACGAGTGAACCTACATGAAATGTAAGTGGTGAGAGGTCAGACAGCAGTCCAACACTAGGGGCAGGACGCTGCAAGACACTTCAAAGCCATGGAAATGGACTGTTCATCTTCTCTGTCCTCGTGTAGACCAGGACACAAGATCAGTCGTAGGGTTTACAGTAAAAGGGTGAGGCCTCATCCTTAGCAGGAACCACACGGCACTTCACTGTCCTCAGAGGGGACAGGACTGGAGGAGTATGAGATGCTCCTAGGAATAGCCACACTTCCAGGCAGATAGAGCACATCCAGGCAGCCCTATGGGGGAAGGCACACTCCATAGCAAGTTTCACTCAATTTCTCTAGTATAATTAAGCCAGACCCCCCGCCCTGGTAAGCCTGACCATGTTGACCACCGCTTGCAACTCCTGTTGGGTGATGCTATAGTTGGTTGGTTCATATGCAGTAGGTGATCAGTTTCTCTTCACCATCTGGTTCTGGTGATAAAACAGCTCCGGGCCCCGGTGATGTCATCCCTGTGATGGCTGGTTGGGGTGCTTGCCTCAACGCTCGTGTCAGAGCTGTGCCAGTTCAGACTCTCCCCTGGTCACAGAAATGTCTCAGTGCGCGTACAACTCTGTGCCAGTCAAATCCCCCGCATTTAAGGGTTTGAATACTCTTGGGATTTGCTCTTCACGGCTTTTCTTGCTCACGCCATTGCCAGTCCTACCTGGTCTCTTACTGGGATAGCCCGCCGTACTGGTCCCGCTCGGGCGTGCTCGTGTCACGGGAGCCGGTCCTGACTCCCCTGTAGTGCAGATTTAGGACCATGTGCAGACGGTATAAACCAGAAGAGACTGGAAAGGGGCTGCGGGGAAAACACGGTCAGGAACGGACGGGAGCACTGACGGGGCGGTGCCGATGGTCATGCGGGTGCGAGGGGGAGCGCAGGCGAACAAGTCCGGTGGGAGTCTAAAACGGAAAAACGGCGCAGTCCAAAGTCCAGGTAGCCGGGAGATCAATCCAAGACGAAGACAGGGAAAAGACAGGAACATGGAAAATAAAACCATGAAGGAGCAAGGCGCTCCGAGCCCCGGACTCAGATGGTCAGGACGCCTGGGGGAAAAGGCCTCGTCCTTGGACTGCTCCTGAGCCCGGTGGATGGGCGGACCTTCAGATGTCCGTCTTCCAATACTGAGCCCAGAGCTTCGGAGGCACATAACTTATATAGTGGCGGGTTAAACAGGAGACAGGTGCGCGTACCAATGAAACTCATAATAAAAGGTTGGAGCGGCCTCTAGAGGAGGGATGATGACCGTGACAGCTCACTGCCTGTATTCTCTGAGCTTCTTCTCCACTGAGCTCCCCCATCTTACTCCTGCCCCAAACGCTCTCTAGAGGGGTTCAACTGCTGTCCATCTGTCTTCTGTGCCATCCTCCTCTTTCCTCTTTAAGAGGCTGTGAGGATCCCACTCTACTGATACCAATGCAGTGATTCTCCCATTTGCCCAGCAGTGTACTGTATATGAGCTCAGAAGGAAAGGCAGAACAGCAAGCTTGCAGGCTCACTAGAGGTTATTGCCAGCTCGCTACAGGTGGACGTGCTAGTCAAGGAGGGAGGAAGAGTGTAGAGAGAGTAGCTTCTGTCGGCCATGTATGAGAGAGAAAGGAAACCTACCCCCCTTACATTAAGGAGAGAGGAGAGAGCAAGTTTCTACTTATTAATCATTCCTTACACTTATAAAGCAATTTTCTGGACAATTCAAAGCGCTTTACAGGTAATGGGGACTCCCCTCCCCTCCACCACAACCAGTGTGCAGCCCCACCTGGATGATGCGATGACAGCCAGAGTGCGCAGAACACTCCCCACACACCAGCTCTCAGAGGGGAGGAGAACAGAGCGATGAAACCAGTTCAGAGATGGGGATTATAAGGAGGCTACAACTGGTAAAGGTGAGGGGGAAATTTGGCCAGGAGAGCAAGGTAACGCCCCTACTCTGTTCAAGAAACACATGGGGATTTTTAATGACTACTGAGGTCCTAACTCTCTGTTTTACATCTCATCTGAAGGACAGTGCCTTTTTACAGTATAGTGTCCCCATCACTATACTGGGGTATTAAGATCCACATAAACTGCAGGTTGAGTGCCCCCTGCTGGCCCCACTAACACCTCATTTAGCAGCAACCTTAATTTTTCCCAGGAGGTCTCCCATCCAGATACTGACCAGGCTCACACCTGCTGAGCTTCAGTGGGGCTGCCAGTTAGGAGTTGCAAGTTGACATGGCTGCTGGCGCTTAAGGCTAAAGGTAACAGGCAGATCTGTTTAATCTGGGGGACAGAATCCTACAATACTGTCTCTTAGAAATGGATACATTTGCTAATTTGGAAAAACAGCCAAGCTCCCTCTTCATAAAAAAAACCCCCACCTGACGAACCCCAGTATCTGCCCCTGCTTCGACCTCCGGTTTCAATAGCACAGACTATCTGACTGTTACCACGCTCCTACTGCACCTTTCTAGCAGAATAATGAACTTGCAAAACATGTGACTACGGATGAGCTCTGCCAGGGAAGACGAAAAGCATTTCAGGGGTCTGTCTTCACAGAGGTTCTGTTCCAAGACGCAGCAGATGACTTAAGAGTACATAGCTGGAGTACAATGGTAAGGACACTACCTTGTCAACCAGTTTGAAGCCTTTACCACTTCTCCTCGTTAGGAATGAGGGGAGCAATGGAGGAGCAGAGACATTTTTTGTTAATGTGAATACATTTTAATATGTACATGTCCAGTGATATTGGAAAGTTGGCGTCTGCAGCTTTAATATACTGTACCTCAAATTTGAAAGGCTTCTTCCGTTATTTCAAAAACAATTTTACTGAAACGCGACTGACTAAAGTACTGTATACTGGAAGTGCACATTCAATTCAAAATACTTAATTCATCCCAGGAGGGTAATTTACTTACAATATATAAGCAACAATGACATGACAACAAGCAATTTCATCCTTAAAGTTCAGACAACAATGTTTGTGTTGGAATATAGATGTGACAAAAACTGTTCAATATGTAATCGATTATGATATAAATCCATAAATTTGACACCTGCGCAAACTAAGACACTGCGAAACGGACTCACTAATTGTGTAGCACACAACAGCTCAGCCGCTCACGAAATAAAATGACTTTGTTCGGGGGGAAATGTAAGTGAATGGGGAATGCGAGAAATGAAATTCCTAAACCGAACGGTCAAGAATATTTTTATTTTTATTTTTATTTGTAAATGATAATGATTTCTATTCATCGCGCAGTTATTAGTTAATTTCTTTTTATTTGGGGATTCCTAATCCGATTTTCTTTTCAAGAAGGTGGCTCACACCTGGCCAGGTGAGATCGGCAGAAGGTCGTTGTGAAGACTTATATTCCAGAATATTCCACCGCACTGCAGCACCTAGAGGTGGCGCTGTGTACGCTCACGGGTAGCGGCGGTGTCGCGACTAGCGCAACAGAAAATTCCATGACGGAGCGCAGACCCCGTTCGCATCTCTTCTGAACTGCGAAACGCGAGTGCGTAGGACCGCAGGCTGTGTGCACGGCTCTTTTAAAGAGCATGGAGGTTTGTCACTTTCTTGCATCGGCTCCACAGGACGAGTGGGGGGGTCGGGGGGGAGGCACTACTCCCATTTACAGTTAGGGTTTTATTTCTCCCGAGATCAGAAATGTTCAGATCTGTTCCACGTTAGCGGAACGAGAAAAGCAGCGCGGCGCTGTTTGCTTTTATTTCCGTCTTTGGCAACAAAGTACAGTCATCGATTTGGGTACCCCCCTGAGTCGACCTGTCTCCGCCTCGGCGCGGCTGTTAATATTAGGATTGAAGTGCAGCCTAATGACCGAGTTTTCAGAACTTTTCACATTTCTCTTCAGCCTCGTTACAGCCCGTTTTCTTTGTGGCGCAGCACGTCGCACGTCGTGTCGTTACTGGACTCCCTGTAACAGGTTGCCGAGATGGAGCTGTGCCTTCGCTGTTTTACAGCGTGCTTTCGTGGGCGATGCTTAAGCAGTCTCTCTCGGGCTCGGAGACCACCTGAGAAAGCAGCGACGCGGAAGGGGGGGGCACGATTTGTTTGATCAGACAGTATCCGAGGAGCCCGTAGGCGTCGCGCTGTAAAAATGGCAAAAGATGAGCGACAGAAGAGCACAGATCTTGAAGCACATTAACGTGCCCGCCGTGGTTAAAAAAATAATAATAAAACAAAATCGCACCCCACAAATCCCGTCTCTAATTGCAAGAAAGTAATTCCTTAACGCTCAGAAATGCGCGTCAATCTGTACTGCAATCGCCCCCTGATGAAAGCGAGCTTCCTGACCAAAACCTTCCGACATTGATCAGATTTTAAACAACGTCGCATCGTGTTCTTTTCTGAGCGAGCCCCCCCTTTTTTGACCACCCTTTCCAACATTTTTCACAACCCAAAGTAGTGGAAAGTGGGTTTGCATGTCAACTGGACAATGAAAGAAACCGAAATAACGGCAACAACAATGACATTATAAAAAGATCGCTTTAAGCGTGAGCTCCTCTTAGAAATAACTATTAGATAAGGCATCTGGCTTACCTGGAGGGAAATGTTCTCAGTTGACTTTGCTGCTGAATTTAATAAAAATTAATAACTGTGTTTCAATATCTCGACTCTGATCGTTTCTGTTTTATCTTGGCTAATAGCGGGAGGAAGAATTTGCAGGTGGGGTCTCCAGGTGCAGGCGAGGTTTCTCCCGGAGCACGACAGCGTAGGAGCACACTTTCAGAACTGGATGTGGATGTTCAGCCCCCCTCTTAAAAGGCAAAGTTTAATCTTAGCTGGAATATTCCACCGGAAATGACGCCCTGGGCTTCTAGGATTTTCTATACTGGAGCTGGCTGGTTATAAAGATGATCAATTTTCCTCACAATCAATTGAGGAAATACTTTTTTTTTTGAAGTACTGTAGTACTTTGGGCTGCACCTTCACAAATGCTTACTGAAAGTCTGTAAAAGAAACGTTGAAAAAATAGCAACCATTAATATTATAACTGATAATAAAGTATTATATTACAGTATGTTTCCTAGCCATCTGTGACGAATATCTGATAGTAAAGTTATTATGTTTAGCATCACGTGATACGTGTTTCTATTTTAGTTTACGTTTTGGCTAACCCTATAAACTGTGTTTTTGGTACAGTCATGGAGCTGTCAGCATTAGAATTTTTTTTTTTGCAAATGTCGATTCTGACTTCAAATACCACACCACAGAACTCCGTGGTGCCGAACAGGGGGTGAACACGTACCCCCCCCTCCATGTCCCACACAAGCGGTGCAAACACCCCTCCATGATCGATGTTTAAAGTGAAACATCTTTCTTGAATGGCAGGTAGACGGTTCCTCACGCCTACTGTATGTATTTACTGTAAGTACCCCACCCGGGACCTGCTGTAGCGCATCTGTCTCGTACAGCGCTCACCCCCTTCTGCGCTCCCTGTCTCGCTTTGTCGCAGACAGACGTGTCGCACTTTCGCCATGGTGGCGACTTCACCTTCACCGCTCTCGTCAAGGACCGGAGTCGCTTTTGCCTCTTCAGCCTCCACGCCCCGCTCAAAACAAGCGGCTCTGCACCCACCATACCGTCTGCGCTTTTAGCGAGATAACTGAGTAACTGTTAATAATAATAATAATAATAATAATAATAATGTAACGACCGCAGGCTTCGGTACGGAATGGAACAGGCATAGGACTCAGGGGATGGGGTTGAACAACACATTTATTAACTCGAACCGGGGAAAGGTACACACGCAGGGATAGGGGTTACAGCGCTGCACCTTCACTAACACAGACACGAAGGGAAGAGGCTGTCTCCCAGCCTTCGTCCCACTATATACAGTCCCTTAGTCCGCCTTGCGTGCGCATGGATAAAGCGCCCCACGTGGCGCTACAATAATATAATAATAATAATAATCATAATAATAATAATTGCTTACACTTATATCTCGATTTTTCTGGACACTCTACTCAAAGCGCTTTACAGGTAATAGGGACTCCCCTCCACCACCACCAGTGTGCAGCCCCACCTGGATGATGCACCAGTACGCTCCCCACACACCAGCTCTCAGTGGGGAGGAGAACAGAGTGATGGAGCCAGTTCAGAGATAGGGATTATCAGGAGGCCATGACTGGTAAAGGGCCACTGGGAAATTTGGTCAGGACGCCAGGGTAACACCCCTACTCTTTTCTGGGATTGTTGACAGAGTCAGGACCTCGGTTTTATGTCTCATCCGAAGGTATAAGGTTGCAGACATTGTAGCAGTAGTAACCATGTAGCTGAGATCTAGGGTTAAACTGTAAGATAATACCAGTCATCTTTCCATGGAGTCATTTTCTAACTGCTACCTTGGGGGTCATGGGGGAACAGGAGCCTATCCCAGCAGGCAACAGGGTACACCCTGGATGGGACACCAGTTCATCACAGGACACAGGACAGGACACAGAGGCATACTAGAAGCCAATTAACTTACCAGTATGTCTTTGGACTGTGGGAGGCAACTGGATCACCTGGAGGAAGCTCACGCGAACACGGGGAGAGCATGCAGACTCCATGCAGACAGCAGCCCAGGTGTTGAATTGAGCCCAGGGCGCCAGCACTTCAAACCCAAGTGCAGGGTGAGGCAGGCTGCAGACAGCATGCAGGCACAGCAAACATACAGAGAGACACGATCCACAGGGAATTCCAGAAATGCAGCCTGTTTCCCAAGCAAAGGTCGAAGCCAGATTTCAATATCTGTGTGTGAAAAGCAAGTGCAGCCCTAGATTTAGTCACTTGTGGAATCCCCGTTAGCAGTAATAACTTGAATTTAAGTCTCCTGTAAGAGCTGATCATCGCCTGGGAGGAACTGTTCCTTACAGAACTGCTCTAATCAATTTCAGTCATCAATTTCCCTATGGGATCAATAAAGTCTTATCTATCTATTTAACTCTTTGATGTTTCAGGGGTTTCCTGTATGCACAGCTCTCTTTAGGTCCTGCCACAGCATTTCCATGGGGTTTGGGTGTGCACATTGACTTTGCCATTCCAAAATCCTGCATTTCCTCTTTTTAAACCATTCTGTTATAGACTCCAGAGCTGCGGTAGCTCAGTTGGCAAGGGTGTCTAGTTCCTGACTGGAAGGTCTTGGGTTCAATCCCAGATAGGGGCAGGTGATGTAGTTTACTCTAAGTCCTTCTAGATGGCTCCCAGATCCACTCAGCCTGCTTTCCTAATGAGTACTGGGGGTAATAGGCCAGCTGGAGCATGATGCTGACCACATCGCCTCCACCCCCAGTGTCCGATGGTCAAGAAAAATGATGACCCTTGGCCCCCCTTCCCCATGGGCCTTGATGGCCTGAAAAGGGGACCTAACCTACCTACCTGCCATAGACTTGCTTGTGTGTTTTGGATTGGTGTCCTCTTACTTGACCCACTTTTGGTTCAGCGTCAGCTGTTGGACAGATGGTGTCACATTTCCTCTAGAACACTCTGGGATAGTGCGGATGTCATGCTAGACCCAGCGATAGCAAGATATCCTCAGGCAGCATAGGAGGCACAAACCATCACCTCCCCACCCCACCACTGTGCTTCATGATTGGTCAAAGGCTCTGTTTTGTTTTTGCCAAACAACCTTCAAGTGCCGCTTTGTAAACTAAAGCTGTGGAGCAATATTCTTCTAGGAGGGCAGCCACTCCTGGGTATTGTTTGGTATTGGCTTCGTAACCCTTTCCAGCAGATAAGCCGTAACGATTCCTTTAATCACCACTCTAAATCTGTTACAGATTTCATTTTATCTAGGCATGATGTGTTACCACTAAACCAAGTACTTCAGGGCAAACTAACAAAGTTTCTGAATGTACTGTATATACAAATGGGAATCACTTACTGATGATCAGTTAATCATCTGCAGCTATTTTGGAGCCACTGATTCTACAAACCTTCTCAATGGAGATGGGAGAACTTAGGGTGCACTTACTTTTCCTCACAAAGATATTGGATACTGGCTGATTATGGTTTTAAAATAATGACAAAGTCCAATTTTTTTTTTGTTTCTATGTTGTCAAATGAGGTCAGTTTGATCTTCTATTAACTTCCAAAGCTGAAATAGGTACACGATATCAATAACCTTTATGTCTCGTTATAACCACCTGATTTGGAGCTCCAAATGTAATGAGTTTGAGACCTTGGCTCACAGCTATGAGGCCTGCGCCACCCACAGGAGAGAATGAGGTGCAGACAGGATCCCCTGAATCACTTTTTTAAAGCATCAAGGGCACCACAGCCCTGTACCAGAGGTTCAGCCCTGATTGGTGGAGAGGCGTGTCCCTCAGCGACAGCACCGCCCACCTGCAAGATCCTGTGAGGGCGCAGGAACTGCTGTAATGGGAGAGCTGGGAGAGCCCACCATGACACCAGAGCCACTCAGCCAGATGTGTGCTGCTGCTTGGGGATTCCCAGTGAAAGTCAGCATGTGACCTGACCCAGGTTCAAACGACAGATCACAGAGCTCACCTTCAGTGAACGTGTCATTCAGGAGGCCTAGTATGTAAGTGAATTGGAATGAAACAATCTGTACAGCACACCCATGTGTAAAAGGTCAATTTGAATAACAAATACCTGTAAATAGTTGTGAATTTGTGTCCTTTGGGAATTGGAACTAACAGGAACCTTGTTTTTCCTTGCACATTTCTCATTTCTCATTATTATGGCAACAGGGTGATCTGGCATCATCATGTGCTGCTATTTCTGTACTATCGAAGCACTTTGTTAGATAATATTTTTCTTCTGGTTCATATAAGATTTGTTTTTTACCTTATCGTAATATTGGGGTCACAGTGTCTTCATGGGGACGATACAGCAATTAGCAATTAGCTTGCTTCAGTTGGCTAGTTTGGAACTGACACATACTAGTCAACCCAATTGCTCTCTACAGGTGTCCCTCCCAGTGGTGTCTGGCCTTGCTCATACAGTTACAGGAGTATGGTTTCTCAAGCATCTCTAGGTCATCTATTTGCATAAAATACAACTTGGGCTGCACTGTAGCTCCAAAACCAGAGACTTCTAGCTGTAGTCTAATCTCTTATTTAAGGTCTGTGTAATTTAATTCTCAGATATACAGTATATAGGCATTACATTACTTCAGCCATATCTCTCTGCAACTCACTGAAGCTCAGCAGGTCTGAGCCTGGTCAGTACCTGGATGAGAGACCTCCTGGAAAATACTAAGGTTACTGCTGGAAGAGGTGTTAGTGGGGCCAGCAGGGGGCGCTCACCCTGCGGTCCATGTGGGTCCTAATGCCCCAGTATAATGACGGGGACACTATACTGTGAAACAGGCGCCGTCCTTCGGATGAGACGTAAAACCGAGGTCCTGACTCTCTGTGGTCATTAAAAATCCCAGAGCGTTTCTCGAAAAGAGTAGGGGTGTAACCCCGGCGTCCTGGCCAAATTTCCTATTGGCCCTTACCAATCATGGCCTCCTAATAATCCCCCTCTATGAATTGGCTTCATTCTGCTCTCCTCCCCACTGAGAGCTGGTGTGTGGGGAGCGTTCTGGCGCACTATGGCTGCCGTCGCATCATCCAGGTGGGGCTGCACACTGGTGGTGGTGGAGGGGATCCCCATTACCTGTAAAGCGCTTTGAGTGGAGTGTCCAGAAAAGCGCTATATAAGTGTAAGCAACTATTATTATTATTACTTCAAAAGGTACCAAGAATGAGGCATTACAGTAAAATACATATTAGGATAAACCCACGCATGGCCTGCACTTGATATGAATCAGAAAAGGCAGCACTTGTTCAGAAATGTTGTCCTTGTTTGTTAACGCTAGTGAACGGTGTTTTGTGAGAGAGTCCTACAGCGAGAAGCGACGGGTTCCGAGGGGCCTCTTGTCTGCAGGACCCCTGCAACACGCCGGGGGGGAGGGTCTCGACGCCTGCCTTCATGCCACTGCCGGCGGTCTTCTGTGCTCGCAGAACTGTGGAGGGCAGGTGAATCGGACCTTGTAATCTTCGCAGGGCTTGTTGGGCGGCTGCTCGGCATTTACGCAGGCGAAGCCGTAGGTGGCGTCGTACCTGCAGACCGGCGGGGGGAAAGGGGGAACACCAGGAGAAATGGATGAGTCCAGGTGAACTCACGATGTTGACGAATCTGTCTATCCCTGACAATAAAACAAGTGGGTTGTTACAAAACTTGGTGGGTTCTTTCTGAGTGGAAGAAAGAAAAAGTCCACGATCACATGGAATGAAAAGTATTATTGAAAAAAGGGCAGAGCGGTGGCTCTGTGGCTAAGGATCTGTGCCTGTGGCTGGGAGGTTGCTGGTTCAAATCCCACAGCTGGCAGAGGAATCCTACTCTGTTGGGCCCCTGAGCAAGGCCCTTCACCCCAGCTGCTCCAGGGGTACTACGTAAATGGCTGACCCTGTGCTCTGACCCCCAGCTTCTCTCTCCCTGTCTGTGTGTCTCATGGAGAGCAAGTTAGGGTATGTGAAAAGACAAATTCCTAATGCAAGAAACTGTATAGGGCTAATTAAGTGATGTAATGATGTATATAAACTCAAGAAATGAAAATAAATTGCATTTATATAGTGCTGTAACCATTCTTTGTCAGCCGGCTCACAGCAGAAAAAGCAAAAATTAAGATATTCACTCTGATAAACTTCGTTTTATGCAATGATGTTTGTAGAACAAAATTTCTATTGTGTTCTTACCCCTATTCCAAGTGGATAACTGCAGTTCTACCGTGTTAACAAAATGTAACCAGGGTGTGATGTTGCCAGCATTAGTTTAACCCGTCCGGGTCATTCGCACCAGAATTACAGAATAACAATTCTGGACGCATATTTGTCCGTCTGTTCCTGTCCGTGGCGGCGTCATTCTTACACTTGGAAGACGTTATTGGTCTGCAGGGCAGGAGTGCCGGCAGTGGTCATGGCCTCGATGCCCAGCGGGTCTGAGCAGACCCCCTCGGGGTGCTCCACCAGGATCTGCTGCAGGGTCTCGTAGTCGCCACGCCCACTGGGGTCGTCGATGTCAAACCAGCCAGTCCTGCACACTGTCGCAGGGAGACAGGAGCAGCAGCATCAGAGCCAGTCTGACCTGGCGGGGCTCGGGCTGCCTTGGTCTGTCCAATTCGAAACCGTCTGGGACTGCTGGGGCAGGGCGGTGGCTCTGTGGCTAAGGATCTGCGCCTGTGGCTGGAAGGTTGCTGGTTTGTATCCAGCAGAGGAATATTACTCCGTTGAGCCCCGGAGCAATTCCCTTAACCCCAACTGCTCCAGGGGAGCCGTATAAATGGCTGACCCTGCGCTCTGACCCCAAGCTTCTCTCTCTGTCCCTGTGTCTCAGGAAGAGCAAGTTGGGGTATCGGAGAAGACAAATTCCAAATACAAGAAATTGTATATGGCCAATAAAGTGATCTGATCTGTACTGCAGCACATACAGTAAGTCTACAGTATGCACCTAGCCCTCACCCTGACACTGCTTCTGCTAATTCAGACCAGAGCCAGAAACCCAGGCCCTTGTCCTAAAAGGGCCTGATCATTTTGACGACATCCATCCATTGGAGATAGTTAAGCAAATTTTCTCACGTATTTTTCTTATTTTTGCTCTTAAATATGCATTTGATGCTTTTTTTTAGATGACTAATGTCTGTTTCTGTACTGGCTGGTCATCTGACCTACTGAAGACAAACAGCCCTTCATGGTACAAAAAGGCATACAATTGCAACAAAAGATTGTTTTTACTAATGCAATGTTGCTTGAATTCCTGAGACCACAAGGTATTGTGTTCCATTGTACCATTGTTTTCTTTGATCCAAAGGCTATGTTCGTGGGTTTTGATTGTGCGTTATCCTTAGGTTTGGCTCCAGCTGTGAATTTTCAAATCAAATTTCACCTCCGTCTTACGGGGAAATGAATGCAGATATCTGACCCCTGATCTAACTTGCAGACCAGATTCAGTTTTCTAGAGCTACAGGTCAGTCTGCAAATAGGGCTAAGCAAATGATCCCTGAAATTGTAAAGAGGAAGTTAAAGTCTTTGTGAAAAATGTGCACACTCCCACTGGCACTGTGGCACCAGAGATGCCCAAACATAAACCTCGCTGCAGAAAAAAAGTAAAGGTGCAAGCCAAGACCTTTCCTGTCTTTATTTAATATAAAAAATTAAAACACAGCCTAGTTAACTTGAGCCCTTACTATTAGACACCCTACCGTCCAGCAAAACATACTTTCTAATCACGGGCTTCCCTCCTACCTGACCAAACTTCTAACCTTTCCTCTAAGGACACAGGGTGAACAAAACCTTGTACACCCAACAACTCAGGTTGTTACGGACTCAGTGACGAGCAGGTGAAACTAGTTACATGTTAACCAGTCTTTAATGGCAGGGCTATGGTTATTGCAAGCCCTTGTCACTCATACCTCTAAGTGCAACAGGAATGAGCTCCACAGCAAAAAAAATTTCCCCCTTTGCCACCTGTTTGTGAAGAACACTCAACAGGCCAACAAGGCAGCCTTAGGTACTTTTGCTGGGTGTACTGCTCAGCTAAAGCTCCCCCATCAGAGAGAAGCATCGCTAGTGATAGCTCACAGGACAAAACAACAATAAAACACCAGTGACTCCAAGAGGTGTTGGAATTTACAGACATGTGACATTTCAGCACAATAGCCTCTGGCAGACACTCTCATTGCCCATTAGTCAAGTGGAAGGGCCTTTGCCCTCTGCTTTTCTGTCCAAAGACATTTCATTGCCAGCAACTACTGCTGCACACTGTATTGTTGTGCACTTGATAAACTTTGATTGATGTCATATGGTCATGCACACGAAACCAGATGCAAAATAATGAATGTGTTTCCTTGTGTGGATTTATGGGCTAACGGGCTATTGCCGTCCAGTGGTCAGTGCTGTCTTGAAGAACGCTACCCTTTCCAAGCCAGACACAGACCATAAGATTGTGTGGGCTGCAGGTTTCTCTATCACGCACTACTGTATAATGGAAAAAGACAGCCTTCCCAGCCTGTCACGCTTCAAACATTGTTAAAGGTGCACGTTTGGGCTGGCCCTACTGAATATTCAGCAGAATTACATCATTTATAGCATTGCCACATTTGTTGGGATTATTTAATTCCAAAAACTATGCAGGCCCTTTCTGGTTTCATAAGGAAGGAATTTGCAGGAGGCCAGCCTTACCTTGGCAGAAATCCATAGGACAGGTCAGCATGACACGGTAGTCTTCACATTTGCCACTGCTTTGGTCAGAATTGATGCAGGCAAATCCATATGTGACATCATAGCTGAATAAAGCAAGATTTTGAATCAATTCGAGAGATTTCCTTTGCATCTGATTTTTGGAAATGCCAATTGCTTTGTACCTTGGCCAGCCTCTAAAACCTTGGCACAGGCACTAAAGCAAAGGAAAGCTGGAATCACTTGATCCTCTGTCATTGTGCGAGCCCACAGTGCAAAGAACAGAGCCACAATCAGATGGACCACCGCTGAAGCACCAGATAAAATTCAGCTACTGTAGAAATTACGGCACCAGTGAGAGTCTTCAAAATGTTCCTGAACTACAGAGGCTGCATCTGCCATGGTGACTCAGGAGGCAGTCAATGCTGTATTAAAGTGACTTCAAAATATTCCTCCCTTTCGAAGCATTACAAAAATAATCACTACTTATGGTAGAAACATCTAACAAAACCTTAGGAATGATAAGAAAAGATTACTGGTAATTTAACAACCGGAGTATCAAATTGTTTTCGTCACTCCCTGATAAGGGAAGAAGTGACTTCTGGCAGTCACCTGTATTATAAAATTTACTTGTCAATACTGTGTAGCCAAAAGGGTCATCTTCCGATGCACCAAAGCTAAATTCTAGTTATAAGAGAGCTCTGAAGCTGTAAGGCCACTCCCTTTCCTAAACTGGTTAGTACAGTCCAGAGACCCAGAATGAAAAAAAGAAATGCAGGCGATCTGGAGAGTGCTTTTACATAACTTGTATTACATTACACTTGCCACCCACCTCAGGTATGCTTTTGGAAGTGAATTTATGAAATTCATACCTGCTGCTGCCCTGCCTGTTGTGGCTTCACTTTCTTCTTAACACCCCGGGGTGCTACAAGCACCTTAAACAGAGGCCTGTCATTTTTGTGTCATTTCATCTCTGGCTGTATTTGTCTTCTGCCAGAAGCCATTTGCATTCAAAATTTCCTCTGGTATGTACAGTATGTGGCTTTAGTGCCATGATTTTTCAAAGCCTTCTTTAATCTTTGAATATCTAAACTCTCCAATGATTAATTATTTATAACTGTTGTAGGTTGCTGTTTAATGATTTTCAAGTCCCACTCCATATTCTCAAAATAACTTATACTAATTATTTTTTAGCAAAATTAATTTTTATTTTGCTTAATGTCTATTTCTCCAGGGATAGCTCACTGTGTCTCAATCTGTGATGTATTTATTTTATAATCGCGACTGTTTAATAAAGATCACTATACATGTGTTGCTGAATTATTGAGCACATTACTAATAACAGGCGTCAATAATATTATCAATAAGCTGTTTTTCATTGACAGTGCAAAGATACTTAGCTGGATTTTCCAAAACTTTGAACAGTACTGTAGGACTGAAAGTCCCCACATGTCTGGCCTGACCGAACCATGTCTCGTCTCACGTGAGAAAGGTGTTTCCAGTGTGCTTGGCAGGTATCCCAGCCACCGTCTGCGCATGGATAGCAATGGGATTGTAGCAGATGTGCTCGGGGTATTTCTGGAGAAGATGGGTGATTGACTCAATGTCCCCAACACCAGATGGATCATCACTGCTAAACCAACCGGTTCTGCACTCCTGGGATACTGGAAAACAGTGGTAGAAGTGGAGAGAAAGTCAGGAAAGTGAATTTGAGAGAAGGTCGGGAAAGTGGTGCGGAGCAGTGGTCAGGGTTCTGGACTTGTAAAGGGAAGGTTGTGGGTTCAAATCCCAGGGGAGACACTGCTGTACCACTGAGCAAGGCTCTTCACTTGACATGCTGCAGTACAGTACACTGCCCAGCTGTACAGATGGGGGCAAATGTGGGGAGAGAGTGAGGAAGAGGGAAGTGGCAGTGTCTGTTCCAGATGTAGTGGGAGAAGTGAATTCTGTAGAGCTGGAAGACTCATGGCAGACACAGAGAGTTGAGGGTGCAGGCCAGTTTCTACAGAGAGGATGAGGCTTCCCCACAGGGAAGCTGCTCCTGCCCAGTTTGGAGGAGGGGGACTGGGGTCAGCCCATCAGCCCTCAAGTACACACATGAGTTCCTTATGACAAAATTGAACTCAAACAAGTATAAATATTATTTTTTCAGATGCGTTTAGTTTTATTTGAAGGGATCTTGAAGGGTGCCAATAAGTTTGGCAGCTATGTTGTTTCGGTAAAACAGCATTACTTGTTTACAATTGAACCTTGAGATGAAAAACATGTTTTAGAAAAAAAAGGACAAGTATTCCCCTAACATACAGTATGAGTATAAAATATCTGTCATTATTTATGTGGTTTATTTCATTTTGACTTTTTTCTTCATATTTATCAAGGGGTGCCAATAAGTCCAGAGTCCACTGTATATACACAGGCACTAGAGTGCAAGATTAGGATCTTATCTTCTTATCTTCTTCCCGAAAGGCTGTTAGAAAATCCGTTAGCAATTAGAGAGGAAGGGCACAGTAATGTGCCAAACGGACTGAAAATAGTTAATAAGAATAGGTAAAAATAAATGAGGAGTCTACTTTCCCAAAAAAGGCAGAAAAAAGCACTTGTGAAAAGTAAAAACACCTATACCTGAGCAGAACACTTCTGGGCAGGTAAATCGAACCCTATAATCCTCACACCTGCTGTCACTCTGATCTGCGTTCACACAGGCAAACCCATAGGTGGCGTCGTAGCTGGAAAACACAGCAAAGAAGCGGCTTCAAGTTTTCTTTCAGAGATCCTGAATTGTTTTTAGACAACCTTATCATGGTCATTTTTTTTTGTCAAAGATGAGATAAGTTAAGATCACTTTATTAACCATACGGAATTTCTTGTATTAGGAATTTGTCTTTTCGCAGACCCCAGCTTGCTCTCCAT